GATCATTTAAAGCTAAAACATATTTTGGATTGTAAGAAAAAAAAAAAAAAAAAATCGAGTCCGTCTGAAGTTATTATGTAAATCATATAAACGTCAATATAAACGTTGCTTTGAAAAAAAATTTGTCCAATTCTAAACAATTAATTTAGATGTCAAAACAAAGCTTGAAGTACATTTTCAGGTTGTTTCAACATGTTTTATTAAGGTTATTGGATTTATTATAAAAACTGCACACTATATATATATATATATATATATATATATATCTCCGAATGTAATGAGAACGAAAATAATATATAAATTCTAATGTTCATGGCATTAATTCAAAAGAAAACTTAATACCAAGTGTAGAGCAATTATTTATTATCATTTTTTTTATATAACAAAAAACAATTTACTTACAACAAAGATGCAACTTCGTTTTGGTGCAACTAAATGCATCAAAACAAAAAAATGCAAATTTGTAATAAGTAAATTGTTTTTGTCTATATCAAAAAATGATTATATATATATATATATATATATATATATATATATATCGTCAAAAGCAAAAGAATGTAGAGTAAGATTTCAGCATTTAAAGCATTAACTTAAAACAGAGCTCAATACGAAAGTAGAGCAATATTTATTTATTATGCAGTGTTACATTAGAACATGCATATACCCACTACAAAACTGTACATCTTGTTTCAATGTTAAAAAATTTCTTTTTTTTTTTTTTGCTTGGCCTTTTTCATCTTATTTCTCTTCTCTCTCGCTGTTACTAATCACTTAGCTTCCTTTCTTTCTCCACATGAAAATTCTTTTTTTAACCTTTTATCGGAAACTTTCCAGTGACAGAAGTAGAAGGTATGCTTCATTAACTGCATTTCAGAATAAAATAGAATTTTAGTAGCATCATGATCTCCCACCTGATGAGATGTTAAAAGAAATTTTTTAACGTTGAAACAAGATGTACAGTTTTGTAGTGGGTATGTTCTAATGTAACACTGCATAATATATGTGAAAATATATAGAAAATAGGAAGGAACTGGTTAGGTAAATAATCCAAAGTCCCTTAGTATTTTAGTTATTATTTTTAAAAAATAGTGCTCGATACAAAAGTAGAATGATGGACTCTCCTGTTGATTTTGACGTATGAGGATCTGACAACCTCATTCAGTTCTTATGTTGCTGTATGTGACACTTCAGTCCTGCTAGTGACCTGCATACAAGTCCACATATAGTGCCACAGCAAGGATCTCAGATTTCAAAGCAAATTTAAATTGCACAATGCAATTCTCTTTATAATAAAATCTTGAAAAATGTTTATACTTTTCTGAAACTTTATTTGAGGAAGATTAGCTGATTTAAAGTTTAATCTGCTTTGGAACAAATATTACTTTTAGCTTGGGATATCACAGAAAAGCATTTTTTTAACACTGAGATGGGTGTTTTTAATGAGGTGTTAGCTACTATCTCGATAGATTTATATTTGGAATATTTTTAACAAATTCATCCTATTTTTATCCAATTTTATTTTTTAAACAGTATTTTTTTTAGTCTATGTCTACTAACATTCCAGAAATCTTAATAAAGAAAAAAAGAAAAATGGGATGTCTATTTAAAATACAAGTAATCACTAAATAACAATGTTTGAAGTAAAAAAGATATCGGATTAAAAATAAATCCATTAATTCTTTAAAAATTGCTTTGTTTACATTTTGAATGCAAAACTGAGCAGATATGGGCTGTCAAGAAAATAATCTGACTGAAGAAGTGTGCATTCCTTAAAATGGAAAATAGAGACTTGCTAAACTGTGATGCTCTCTGTAGTCGAGAGGTAAAGCATGCTGGATCAAACAGTGTTTTCTCCTACAAAGGGGGATGCAGGTTTGATCCCTACCAGAGAGTCAGTTTTCTTTTATATTTCTCAATACACACTGTTTAAAATAAAAATTCAAAACACAAGTATCCATTCTAATATATATATATATATATATATATATATATGATAAATGTTATATTCATTGAGGACATGTGTTTGAGGAGACATGGCGGTTAAAAAAAAAAAACAAAACAAAAAGTGAAATAAACATCTAGCTGGCACATGTGCCTCTTGACCTTAAGGCAGATAGATGTCAATTTTTCTGACAGAGGAGGGAACAAAAAGAAAGAAAGAAAAGGGATATTTACTCAAGCACGTACTTAACTCAATATGTTTATAGTAAAAGAAAATGTCAGGTTGAACAATTGCTTAAAAAAGAGAAAAATAGATGGAAGAAGAAGTGTGTGTGTGTGTGTGTGTGTGTGTGTGTGTATAAAAATCTAAAATTGTACCCTGAAGTCAATACCAAGCAGAAACATTCTGTTTCATCCTAGAACCCAATCCATGTTGTTTCAGGGGTACAAATATTTATACAAAGCTGTGTGTTGCTATCTATTAATGTATTTTCTCATTATGCTTTTAAATGCAAATGGTTGACAATATGCTGAGCGTTCATTGAACGTAAATTCAAGCTACAGATCATAGAAACAATTTATATTAAAAAATTAAAGCTGGTACTGAACAGAATCAACTATGAATACTGTAATAATGTTCTAAAATGCCTGTAAAGAAACAGTTCTTTTCAGTGCATTATTGCACGCATGACTATGACATTATAACACAGAGGAAAAAAATTCCGTAACGGATAATTTTTTCATATTGTAATATACCACATATGAAGTAATTTGGGACTTTTTGGTTTACTGCTATTTGCTCTGTATTATAAATAGATTGAGCTCTTTTAGTGGATCAGTTTTAATATTTTATATTACTAGGATCCACTTGGATTATATACCAACGGATTTGTTACCTTTACTCTCTCTTGAAATATATATATATATATATATATATATATATATATATATATATATATATACACACACACACAGGGTGTGACATAAATCCCGTTACAAAAGGAAAAGCTCATAATCCCTGAAAATGTATTAGATCAGCCTACAATTTTAACACCAAGTCAGTATTAATCTGTCAAATAAGACCATAAAATCTCATTCAATATGGTTTGCTTTAGTCTTCACTATATGTAGAATTTTTCAGCAAAGTCATCAATTTTGCCTTCAGAACTTGAATATTGCGATGTGGAGTATAACAGGCCTCACTTTCAAGAAGTGTCCACAAACAATAGTCAAAAGGGTTGATATCTAGCAATGAAGGAAGTCATTTGTCCTAGGTGATGATGCCAGGACAGTTGTCGCTGTATCACTGCTGTGTTACGTGAGCAGGATGGTTCATCACTCTGTTTTGTTGAAGTGTCCAATGTTTATTACCACAAGTGTCATTGCACCATGGCTAAATACTAAAACACTTAAAAAAAAAAAAAAAAAAAAAATATATAATAGTATATGTGGTCAGACCATAAAAAAACAATGTAATGATAAAAAATTTGGAAGTAAAATTCATTTGAAATCTTCTAACAGTATTTATGCCACACCTTATGTGTGTGTGTGTGTATATATATATAACCTATGCAATGCAATGCAATTGGATATGTCAGTCCAGGGTGGGTCTGCTCAGTCACCAGAAATCACACAAACAGCCTACTGTATATGACAATTTTGTAATGACATGCTTTGAATGCCTGACATGCAGTAGGGTGTGTAAGTCCAGGTTGGGTTTGACAAGACACACTGGAAGTGATGATGATCAAAGTCAACTTCCACCACCCGAAGATGATTTGATATGCCATACATGTGACAAGAAATGCAGATTGATGATTGGCTTTATGAGCCACTGTCTTCACACAACCGTTGAATGCAGTGTTTTTTTTTTTAAAAATGAAGGGCTGAACATGTCAGTGATGGTCATACTCACTTTGTGAGTCAACAGTCACCATCCATTTCGTTGTTGGAAGTGTAAAATATTTTTTTTAAATAAACAATAAGCTATATCTTGTGCCAGATGAGTTGGGTAACCAATGAAACTCGAGTCACACTCCAAATGTAGGTATATGTGTATTTATTAATATATATTCCTTAGCTCTGTCTAATCACATTGAGCACTATTACGTCTATACCTCTTGGGTAAATTTGATATATATATATATATATATATATATATATATATATATATATATATATATATAAATAAATAAAGATTTTAACATTTGATTGAATGAAAAATTGTGTTTGGTGAAGAATACAGAAAGTATTCATATTTTCTGATCATCTTGCTAGAAAAAAAAAAGAAAAAGAAAAATTAACACACAGCAATTTATTGATTGATTGCTCTGCTTTCTTTTGCAGGTTATTTAAAGCCAGAAAAAATATTTTTTGATTGTAAGAATTTGGCAGGGGGATTTAATGATGATTTAGTGATACAAGTATTACTAATTAACCCATAGCTGGGAGGAAAAGAGGATTCATACCTTTTCCCAAAGGTATTTGCATATAAGTGGGTATAACAATTAAGCAATTTAGACAGATGTATTAAAAAATAGATATATATTTCATTTTTACTAAACATTCGAAAATGAAACGCATGTTAATCTATATGCATGTTAGTATTAACAATGTCTGCACATTTGAGTGCATGTGCAATAGAGATGTGTGTGCATATGCAATAGCAACGTGTATGTGCGTTTAATACAGTGCTAGTATGAACTGTACTTATCATCATATAATGTGCAACCCACCCCCCCAAAAAAAAAAAAAAAAAAAAAAAAAAAAAAAAAAAAAAAAACCACTTCATCACAACGATTATAGTTGTTTAGCAAAAGAGGTATTGTGATAAATTACAATGGTTCCAAAAATGATCCCCGACCAAAACACAATGCACATTATATACCTGTAAATACAGTCTGTACATTCTAATCACAATGATAAATGCTTCTTTAACATTCAATGATAACCCATCAAAAATAAAATAATATCAACACTGTTTATGTAAAAAAAAAAAAAAAAAAAAATGATATGCATACAAAAACAGCTACAGCACTACCATTCAAGCCGCCACTTACCATTTGGCTTGGAGTGTCGACTGACTTCGCCACTACAATGCTCCTGAGTTTTCTCAGTCTTTGAATGTTTGTGCTGCCCACTTGATGGACTTGATGACACTGTCCGGTCTGAGGATGATGATGAAGACAAATCACTGTGTCTGTGGTTAGTGATTTCAGACTTGCTCCCTGAATTAGGTGTTTTACTGTCAACCGATGCTAAAAGCAGAGTCTTTTGCGAAGACATTGGAGGAGCTGAATTTGAGGATAGAGACATGGCATTAGACATAGATGCTGTGGTCGATAGAAAAGATGGGGACAGACTCTCTGATGGGATCCCCGTTAAAGACGTACTGTGCTGTTCTGATGAGGCGTTCTCATCTTTAGATTCTTTGGTGCTATATACAGATTTTGACTGAGAGTCGATTGATTTATCGTTAGGTTTCTCTGACGAGCCATATAAAGAGGATTTGAGTTTATTGTCCATCCCACTGAGGACAGGTGATTTAACTGATTTTTTACAATGACTTTCAACTAACAGAGGAGAATGTTCGGAGGTACTGGACGATATATGCAGTGACCTACTGGCATACTTGATATTGTGAGGTCGCTCGACTGGGGGTTCAGCTGGTCCTTCCACTGACCGCTGTTCAGTTAAGTGATCATTAGAGGTTTCAGTTCGAGTTATAGTGGGAGAGGGTAAGGGTATGTCAGCAGGTCGGAAGTGTTCCTTTGTCCGTTCCACCCACTCATATTCTGCACTATCATCCTGGAGATGCCCCGACCGGTGCCGACGTTTTACCGGAGAAGGCCCGTCGTCAAAGTCGCGTCGACGATCTTCCGAGTTTGAGCTTTCTCTTTTGTGTTTATGCTTCTTGTGTTTTTTCTTGCGTACCAGCTCACTGTCCAGACTGTCGTTTTCGGTGTCGTGCTGAGAGTGACGGCTTTTCTCCTTGTGACGTTTCCGCTTGTGTTTTTTATGCTTTTTGTGTGAGTATTTGCTGGAAGTGTTTTCAGAGTTGATAGGTGGGGTCTGCACACGAGAGCCCACACTGTCTTTAAGACGGGCGGAAGAGGTTTCAGCAGAAGAAGCATTATTATTTGGACGTGCTGTGGTGATTGTTGGTGGTTTAGGACAAGGGTCCAAAGTCTTTGAGGCTGTTTGCGAACAATAAATACCGTTCGATTCAACCGTTTCCCGCTTGGATTCTGCTGGTGGATCTTCCTTTAGTGGAAGAACAGGAGCTGAGGCTTCTTTAGTTAAATTCAAAGAAGGTATTGAATTATTCCCTGGAGACATAGAAACCAAGTTTGGAGCTGCAGTTACAGTAACTGCAGAGGAAGCGATACTGGTAGCAGTTCCCACAGGAGAGATTCTGTCGAGAGCTGAAGGACCCAAAACTGCATCTGGTTCAGGAGTTGTACTACAAAGTGGAGTTGGGCTTGCAGCATCTTCATTTTCAGCTGTCATTTGCGGGTTGCCACCTGACCCTTCTTTATTGAGCACTGTCCAGCCTGTATGTTGCCTCTCGGGCAATTTGAGATATTGGGGAGCGTCTCCTTTGTCGGTAACATGCCACTCTGTGGTTGAGTTAATACTTGTGCTTGAGCTCGAGGCGGAAGCCAGTGACGGACTCACGGCAGATTCCTGGGACTGGACCAGCCATGTTGTGGTAGAGTTCACCTTCTGTTTTGGTGTGGATGTAGTATCACAAGTTAGCACAGTCCCCGGAGCTACAGAGGGGCACGTAGAATTCAGAGTGGTAGATGTTGGGGCTGTGCTGCTACTGCTGCTACTACTACTACTACTACCACCACCGCTTGCATCTCCCAGGAAACGTTTTAAGGGACTACTACTGTGACGGTGATGTAGTTTTAGTGTTAAGTCCTTAGAGTGAAATGGTGAGGAGGGGGATGTAGAAGGGATGAAACGGTCCAGCGAATGTGAATCTCGAACGTTATTCCATTCCCTAGTTGATGTCTCAAGCAGGTGAGCATTTCCAGGAACCGAGGTGGTGGCATTGAGGCTCTGGTCAAAGACAACTTTGGTATCACCGGTGGCGCCAGAGTCTGCCGGTTTGCGGCCACCAGAGCAATAGCTTTCAAGAGACTTGCTTTTTGGAAAAGTTGGCTGGGGTGAATTACTGGAGCCAGACTTGTTCTCCTGGTCCGATTCAGACTCACCCGTGTAGGGTACCAGCTTTGACAGCTGTTCCTCTTCCTTTTCAGCTGTTTTCCCAGCAGCTGCTGGCTTTTCGATGGTAGTCACAATGCCATTTTTTATTTGCATGACAATCCTTGGCTTGGCTTCTCCAGACTTGGAATTTGAATCGGAGGCCGATTTGACAGTGTCCCCTTTTGAGTAACTGCCGATGCCAAAGGACTCCTTCTCCCGCTTCTCTGGCACTGAAGTTGTTTTTGACACATTGCAGCTGCCAGTGACTACGGAAGACTTGGAAGGGTGCAAGCTCTGAAGAGAGTGGTTCTTGCGAGGGTGTGCAGTGCCAAAGTCATTCACTGCTGAGGTACCTGGAAGTAAAACAAGCATGCCTAGTGAGACAGCACTGATGATGAAAAGCAGAAATTTTAACAGGGAAGGGTAAGATTTGGTTGCCACTAAAAAGATCATTGTTTAACTTAAATGATATAGAATCATTTATATAGAAAATTATAATGAAATAAAAATTAAAAAAAAAAAATAAAAATAAAAATAAAAATTGTTGTTGAAAGTCAGACTGTCAAAATAAAAGGAATTTTTGGCAAACTTGGACCTTCGTGCCTGCGAAAAAACACCAAGTGCAAAATGGTGGTTTTTCCCTTGACACTGCTATTATTTTAACTACCTTCACTACTCGACAATGTTTTAAAAAGTGATGGTTGGAATTGTAATAATAATTGTAAATAACCTAAACGTATAATTTAAATGATGGGAGGGGGGGTGGAGGTTTGAAAATTTACAACAAAAATATTAAACACTTTATTAGAATGTGTAGAAGAAAAGCAAGGGTATTGAAATTGTATCAGAGTGGTGGGTGTATATGAAATGTATATACTTTCATCCTGGTTCAAACAAACTTAAAAGGAATATTTTTTGTATGTGTAAGCATTGTGTCCTTATTTCTGATTTTTCATTCAGAAGGTTTTTCTGCTCGGGAAATGTTATTAAAAAAAAAAAAAATTCCTTTTGAGTTCATTTGAACCAGCATGAAAACATATACATTTCATACAACCTTACCTTCAATACAATTTAATATCCTTACTTTTCTTCTCCCTTTCTATTACACTTCAGCTTTGCATTTATTTATTTTTAAATAATAAAGCGTTAGGAAATAATTTAACCTGAATCGCCTGAAGAAATTTTTAATTTTAAAATTTAGCATCCCTACAATTTAAGTGTTTTCTCTTTGTGCATAATGCTTACATTTATATCCCTCCTATACTACTGCTGCTCATATATAATTCCATCAATAAGAACATTACTTTAGCCTGATGAAATCCTTTTAGGGCAGTGAATTTCAACTGGTGTGCCATGAAAATTTTCCAAGGTCATTAATTATTTTTAAAAGACCAGGGCACAATAAGTGGCCATATTAAAACACTTTTAAATTGATTATATGAGTATATCATTGTTTTAATAAATGTATACATACTATATAAAATAATATAAAAGCAAGCTTTTTTGCAATAAACAATAACTGAAAACCAATCACAGCTAGAATCCTTGGAAGGAGATTTAAGAGTATGCCTGTCCAACATTTGCAAAGAAGATATTCTACCCACCCCCAAAAAAAAATTCGTAAAGCCCAGATATCTCTTTAGATATTAAACACAACTTATCACTTTTACTATCTTTCTTTCATTTTCTCACTGAAACCTAGTATTTTTTCTCCTCTTTCCACACGATCAAAATGGAATAGTCCATTATTTATGAGGTACTGGCAGGTCATAGAATAGGACATTCCTACCTGGTCCCCCATTTTGTGGCCATGATAGTTTCTATATCATTATATTCCAGAGAATGGTAATAAATCTAAAAGACATGCCTGTGTAACTAATCGGTATCTGATCGATTGTTCGATTCGTTTTCTAGCAAGATAGTTTAAATAGACTCCTTAAACTAAGTGCTTAACATTTTAACAATAAATGAACAAGATAAGACTACTTTTTTGTTTTTCAAGGTCACTCATAAGATTGATGGATTCATTTTTTACAGCTTATCAACCCTTTGTAGGTTATTTAAAAACTAGAAATTTTTTTTTTTTTTTTTTTTTTAGATAATAGTTTAGTGATACAAATCTTACTAATTAACCCATAGCTGGGGTCGGTCGGAGAAGAGGTGGATTCATGCCTAATCAGAATGTGGATGTAAAGTGAGGGATCAATTCTATATCACAATCAATACATAAACTTGTGCCACATTTTGTAGCCATGATAGTTTCTACATCATTATATTATAGAGAATGTAAATAAATCTAAAAGACATGCCTGTGTAACCAATCAGTATCTGATCGATTGCTTGATTCGTTTTCTATGGCTTATCAACCCTTTGCAGGTTATTTAAAGCCAGAAAATATTTTTAGACTGTAAGAATTGGGGGGGGGATAATGATTTAGTGATACAAGTCTTCCTAATTTGTCCTAACCCATGAAAACATACCATGAAAATGTTAGTGCATTTGATATATCTCAAAACCCATTGGCAATAAGTTGATTTCTCTTTCAAATGATACCAAATTTACTTTCCTTGGTATTACTGGTTATGAGATATGGTTTTTGAAATTGGTAACTTTGTAAAAGTGTACATTTCTGGAACTTCTGGCTGATCATGTTATGGGCGTTAAAGCTGTGTAGTGGAATACAGGGCTATCCTATGTGGGGATATTCAGGCATACCAGCCTTAAAGTAAAATTATATTTCAGTCACATAATACAGCCTCCAAAAGTAGCCATTCAAAGTTATCTAAAACCATTTGGGTGTTTTTGGGGAGTGTCTGAGTAGTTAGTTACTGTCTTTCACACACACAGAATTAAAATAAAATGAATTGGTAAAACATTTCTATTGTGGCATCTTATGTTCACTTCACATTGATGCCTTTATGAAAGACATGAATCCACTACTCCCTGTGCTATGATTAAATAACAAGGAAATTGGAGCCCTTTATTTTTAAAAGTCAACCTAACTAAGAGAAAGTAACTAACAAAAAAAAAAAAACAAACAAACGCAACCGGATTGAGAAATTTAAAGGCAAGGATTATGGCAGCATTCACCAACTTAAAAGAGTTGCAGAAGATTCCAAAATCGTTTGGAGTCTAAGGTTGATGCCAATGACAATTTTATTGAATAAATTTACTCTTTCTTATATCAAGATATTTTTGTGTAATTTTCGTAAATATATTTGTTAAAATGAGATATCAGTAATATTTTCATTTTTGTGTAATTTAAAAAACAATCTAACGGTTGAGTATCCTAGCCCTGTAAAAAATCTACAATTTCATAAAAAAGCAAAACCCCAAACATTCTGATAACAAATCCCACATCAATTAAAATGAAGTCAAACTTGCCTTGTTGTATGGAAGCAACTATTAGTTTCTGAAATTCCTTTTGAATGAAGGTTACTATCTTTGTTTTACTTAAAAAAAAAAAAAAGTTTTTTTTTTGGAGTGGGGGGAATACCTTTCTATATCTTTGTTATATATATATATATATATATATATATATATATATAACAGAGTTCATCCATCAAACAAAGAAATACTCTATTTTCCTGGAATATTTTAAAAAATTGGATGGACTTTCAAACGCTTAAAATTACAACTGCTATCATCATCATAAATATACATGGTTGTAGGTTTTTAAGTGAAGAGGTGGTTAATGAAACAATAAGAAAAAAGACAGTAAAATAGGTTTTATCATTTCTTTTTTATTTATTTTAAACATAATCTCATCCTACACATTGTATAATACACACATGAACTCAAATGAACAGCTAACTTCAGCAAGTTATATGAACATTGGCACATTGACATCTACAGGGGCTTGCAGCATCAAATATTCTTTTATACTGATTAAAATAAGCAAATGAAACATTATCACAACCAAATAGAATCTTTATTGTACACTGACATTTATATGGGTCGGGTAGTACCAAGATGGATATAGAGTAAAAAATAATTATCGCTTTGTTATAAGGAAAACTTGTCAGCACCTCCAAAGACGAAGGCAAAAATAAATGTTGGGTAGAGTGACAACAATATGCGTCATTGCAAGATGGGTTACCTTTACTGTGACAATTATGGAGTATGCAAGAATTATCTTAATGATGTAAGGAAAACTTGTCAGCATCTCCAAAATTAATATAAAAATATATTTTAGACATAGTGACAAAGAGGTGAAATATGATAAAGAATTGCTGCAGTTTAAAGACCAAGTTCTCCTAGATAGTGCATTAAGAAGAATCCAGGTAAAAAGTCACAGGAAAAAAGAAACAGGACAAGGTTAACACATTGTGGGCAGAATCCCAGCCTCCTATCCCAAAAGTGGGCAGAATCCCAGCCTCCTATCCCAAAAGTGGGCAGAATCCAACGTTTTGGCTATAAAAAAAAAAACCTCCCTAAGTCTTTCTTCACAAAGTTTATGGGATACTAGGATTCTCTAACTATGAAATATATCAAATATGTGAATGTAGCATTGCTAGAAAAAATTTTTTAGAGGTTGGATCAATTTACTATGAATTTCTGTTGCAAACAAAGTGGACCTATAAACTCAGGAAGTACCTAACAGAAACAGATGACTTTATTTCTGGCCACCATAATTTAATTGCAACTTCTTTCCTAGCCAAAATTGAGACTTTTTTCTGTGACTTTTTCACTGGCCACAATGAAGAAAGGGTTTAAAAAAAATGGAGTTAACTAGGTTTGATAGGTCCAAGTGGGGAGCCCAATTACGGTTCACAACCTTAACAAGGATTACAAGAAAAAAAAAATGTCAAGGCGAATTCATTTGTTGAGTGAAAGTTTTGTTGAATAATATAAATGAGTTTATGTTTTTTAATGAATATAAGTGAACTTGGGGCCATTGCAAAGAATGGTTCATTCATATTTTTTGTTTGTGCAAAAAAAAAAAAAAAAAAAAAAAAAAATAAAGAAAAGATAGTCAGCTTATTAAACAGTGAATTCAACATTTGTAAACATTCTTTAAAATATTTTCACACAGTTCTCAGGTTAAGTGTACATCTCTAATAATTGTTAGAAGCAGGTATTCTGCTTTGCATTTTCTATAACGGAAACACTGGCCCTGCCAAAGGATTTTCAGGTGATTTTTTTCATCTGAAATCAGATAATAAATATAACTGGAATTTAAGTAAAAATAACCTAAAAACATTGAATTAGATTGATTTGCTTTCTATGGTTTATCAAACTTTTGAAAGTTATTTACAGCCAGAAAATATTTTTAGAGTGTAAGATTTTTTTTTTTTTTTTTTTTGAAAGATGTTTTAGTAATACAAGTCTTACTGATTAACCCATAGCAGGGGAAAGAGGTGGATTCAAACCTAATCAGAAGTTGATAAACAAGAAATTATATGGATATAAAGTGGGGGATCAATTCTATGTTACAATCAATATATAAACTG